TCGTCTAATTTTATCATAAATTTTGATCACGATTGCAATGAATTTGTCTAATTTTATCTTTAAATACGAAAACGTAAGTACTAGCATTGATCATGTCAATAGCGACCATGTCTGGAAAGTCAATGTGCTTACATTTATTTAGTAAGTACAGTCTAAGGTCAAAAGTATTTTACCAATCGGAAATTCCCCTATTATTTCATAAAAAAGCCATTTTGGATAAAAGTTTAGCTGTAGATATTGCTGAACGAATTTTTTTCATTTCGTTTCTTGCAATACATTTATAATTATAAAATATGTTTATGATTTATATTTTTAGGGGAATCACTGTTTAATGAAAAAATATGAATTTCTGCATGAAAAAAATCATCTTGCTATATCAGAAAATATGATACTCGATTTCAATTTTTGTATACAAATAATAATTTCTCAGTTATGACATGTCAGAAAAATATTTCATAATAACCATTAAAAAGACTGTAAACATTTATGAGCTTAATATTAAAAATTTCATCGACATCGGACTTCAAATTAGTTTTTGACAATGTTTTTAGAAAATGGAATTGTATACAAAATAATAGAGGAATTTGGGATAGGTGAAACTCTTTTGACCTAAGACTGTAGTAGTATTGCATGGGTGATGACCAGCGTGCTTTTAATGCATTTTAATTTAACTTTTTTCTAACAAAGCCTGTTAGGGATTTCTAGTAAACTCATGTTATATTGATCTACATATTATGTTATTGATCACCAAACATGTAGTTGAGAAAAACTGTTTGAGAAATAGTGAGACATTAATAATAAATTGTCATATGATGTAGCATACACACAAAACAGTTTGCGCCCATGAAATATACAAAATTAGTACTAGTCTAGTCTCTCAAACGTGTTTAAAAGCTATAAGCATAAAATAAAGAGACATATAAACTGCAGTGACAAAAATGCGAAATTAATCATAAAAAAAATAAAATACAAATATAAATGCTACATACCGTGATATTGCCTTAATAGTTTTTGCAATAATTAACACATTCTACATTTTGTAAATCATGTAAAACAGTCCCTGATTTTACGGCTTTTAAAAAGTTATTTGTCACAAATACAATGTTCCTAGTATAGAAAAGTAATAATCTCTGATAGGTATACCATTGGGGATTATAAATTCTTGGATTTTCTTATTATTGATTTGTTTCTTATAAGTTTATTAATGTCCAGTGGCAAATACATGTATGTTAAAATCATATTCCAGACCTTAAACAAGTCAAAGCAACAAATGAAATAGTCATAAAGAAAATATCTAGTATACAATCTTTTTACTGAAGTTGTTCACAAGAGCATGTTCAATGCGAAGACAAACTGGACATGAAAACGGAAGAGCGAAAATCAACGCATGTTATAAAGTTATGCATACTGCTCTGCTATTAAGGTTTTTTGTGCATTCTATCTCGACTAAAAACCATAAAATAAATTGAAACCAATATAAAAATAAGAAGATGTTGTATGTTTGCCAATGAGACAACTCTCCATCAGAGACCAAATGACTAAAAATTTAACAACTATGGGTCACCATATGCCCTTCAAGTTCATCACATTAAAACACATGTATATATTACAAAAGAAACCTTTTCCATAATTCCACGTTTAAACCTCATTTTTACTAGGAAATTTAAACCCACTTCTTTATTGTTGCTGGTCGTATAAGGATGGAAAATTAAACATACACGTACCATGTACAAACATTTTTGTTAATAACATTTAAAATGATATGAGAAAACAATCCTCAAAAGGATTCGTTAGAATTTGCAAAACTTGATGCTTTAGAACAAGCTAATTGAATTTGCTTTTTTAAAATCTCAGAGAAATCTTTCATCAAAGTCAAGCTGTCAGTAATCATCAAGTGTCTTGGATGTCTGTTTTTATTAAAAATATATTTATTTTGTTAGGTAAAGACTTCAAGTATTATGATTTTCCTATACATTTATATATTATATTATTGCTTTGTTATTTTGGAGAAAAACAAGTTTTGTGGCTTCCATAAAGTAAATACGGAAATTTCAATATTTACAATAGGGGTTGGCGTCTTGTGTTTAGCAAAACTGGCGTGAGGACACAGTTATCGTTCACACATATAGTCCCTAGTGTGGACAGTGTATAATTTGCTAAATTTTTTCATACACTTTCCAAATTTTTTTCTATATATTTTATGCATGAAATATTAAGTAGGGATATGAAGTTGCATTTAAAAAAAAAATAGGGTAATGAATTTTAATGTAAAGTAGTGATTTGGTCGAGTTAAAAGAGGTCAAAAATATTTCTGAAGCTGTCAAACTGAATTATAGACCTCCTTAAGAATTGTCCATATTTTGAGTTAGAGTTGGTAGACTATTCTATAATTTTGATATAATTTGTCCCACATGTCCCACATGTAGTATTATACACTGTAAAAATCCTTTTCAGATAGAGCTGGTGCGATTTTTTTAATTTGAATGTATTGTCTGAAAGAAATGCACTACGAAATAACTGTGTTCACGGTCCAACTATTGACAATATTTCCATAAAATTAGCAGGGAATGTTAAGTGTCGAGTTCTGTTTTGTACCTATTCTATTTTTTTTGTATCGATCAATGGGAGTCAAACTTAGACATTTATTTACGATTAACGCAACCTATTCACATATATAAGTCTAAAAGTGTAGGACGTCTTGATTTCTCATCAGCAGGTTGGATACATTATGACCTTACTTTCTGTAACTGCGAGCAGTCTTGGAAACGGTTGAATTTGTATTTTATTTTTTTCTATTATACCGTTATTGTAGAGTAAAGTTTTGGTTTTATTGCGGGTTTAAACTTTTACGTTCGTTTTTATCGAGCTTGATATTTTATGCATGAAGACACCCGAATCTTGTTGAAGACTGTAGCTAGGTTGCCCTCTAGATGTCATTTGGTCAAATATGTCCTACTGTGAACTTTCATTGTGTATTTTGCAACACTATAGCTACACTTGGATATAGGTTTGAATTTATTATATCTACTGATTAATACGGTCTGTTTGCATCGACTAAATGGTTTGGCTGTCCTGTTCTATGTCTTTCATATTTTGATGTGTCTCATATTCTAGGGCTTTTCCAAAATTCACGTAATACGTGTAGGTATTGTTGCTTACATATATAAAGTCAAGCCGTCGTGTCTTCGAAAGTTTTATGTACGCCTTCATAATTTTGTTACTCTCTGCTGAAAATCTCTGCCACAAAAATAATGCTTAGGTTCAATTTGTGGTAGCTAAAATTTTGTTTTTCATTGTTTATGGCATTACTTTATCGACTTGTCATGAACACAACTGCGGCAAGAGCTGCTAATAATCAAAAACAATTGTTTTCCTAACGTTATTTATAATACTGTTTTGATGCCCAATCTGTAGCTTTTTGTGTAGTGTTCTGTGTTGTTTTCTTTCTATCTCTTTTCTCAATTGAGTTGACTTTTTGCCTCAACTAAATGGTTTGTCTGCCTTTGTTAATTCTTTCCTATTTTAATGCGTCGCTTATATATAAACCATCGACGTATTCTAGTGTCATGCGGGGGTTTCCTGCATTTAGACCCTTTAATGATAAAAATGGCGGGAAACGAAAACGAAATACAGTCAAAATAGAACTGCAATTTCTTAAAATAATGCAATTATGTTTATTTTTCATTTTTAAACAATACACCTCAACATTGATTTTGTGTCAAATACCATGAAAACATAAATGGGGATCTTTACTGCATCATGATCATATAGTTTCAAATCCTTTTACACTGATCTTTAAGAGAAACGTTTGATTTCAAGAGTACCTGATGCAGATAATAAAAAAAAAAAAACCCAATACCTGTAGTGTGCATTAATTTAACACAGCATAATACGTTTTTTTTAAATTATAAAAGAGGAAACTGTAAAGGAAGAAATCGCAAACCTTTAGTCGCGAATAGAAATAGACAACACCATGACCAAAATGGACCAACAACGAATAGACAAACAAGTCCACAAAATATACACAGAAACCATTAGGCAACATGAACCAAATCTAAAAGAAACTAGGATGAACAGGTGATTCGGAAGGGTAAGTATATCCGGCTCCATTACTGGCACAATGATATGTATTGCAAGTAACACTTTTGAGATAAGTCACACTTGACGATGTCACAATCGAGAAAAATGACGGAATTGTGACAACAACAATTGGAGCATATCCGAGGTCACATATTTGAAATCGGTTTTCTATAACGGTGAACTAAATCATTATGACGTCTGTAAAACATGCGGAGGAATGACTTCGACTTTTCAATTTGGACCCTTGGTTCACAAGTTTTCATCGGTTGACGGTAGAAGCTCTCTATCAAAGAAATCGTGTTATGTATTGCAATACCTGTATTATCGTATCAACTAGGAGGTATGTGTATACTCCATCTGCAGGAACGGAGTAACGCAGACATTGACAATGAGAATCTTAACTGTTCTGAAGTTAAGTTCCCAATAGACCAGCATTAAAGCCAATATCTAGTTGTAAGTCAATATATAAAACAGACTTACCTATATGTATATATATATATATGAAAGGTATCCTTTATTTCAAGATCATCTATATAGTGGAACATGAAGTAAATTTTAAGGATTAATGCCAGTTTCTCTATATTGTATTGAGAATCTCCTGTATATAGTATGCCTCATTGAAATAAAAAAAAATGTCTGCAAGAAAAAGGAGCACAGTTGGTTCCTGTAGGAATACAAATTGTATATAGAATAACACGTCCTCCAAACGTCACAAATATTTTGCTAATAAAAAAATCAAATATGTTGATGATGCCAGTTTCATAGATCTTTTTGTTTAAATCAGAGCGCATTTTTTTACAGAGTATAATTCTAACTTCCTAAAGCACTGTATCTTTACCAGTGTTGGCCATTTCCTATAAAAAAAAAGTTACATTAATTGCGATATTCTGTCTTTAAGTATATAATGCTCGAGGATACAAATGTAAGGGGGAGGAAATCAAATAATTATACTAATGCACGAGGATAGGGAATTAGTATGTACTGTAAAACAATAAGTTGTGGTGAATATCAAAACGAGAAAAAAATATGTATGTTTATTTATTCATTCAATGATGGCAATGACTTACAAATTAATTGAGTCCTGCTTCGCTGCTATCCTGATTAATTGAGCCTTTGGAGATAAAACGAACTTTTAGTTTGAAACATTTTTCGTCGTTTTCTTTAAAAACATATCCCCTACTGCTTCCACCGGAACTACTACCTTCTTTCGAATCATGGCGAAGATAATAGTTTATCTTGCCCGTTACAACGATTGTTCCAGATGCACCTACATTATATGCGCGTCCAGTTTTCACTTTGTATATTTTTCCTGGACAGCAGTGGTCAGTCATTATATGTTTTACTTTAATATTGAAACACCCGTATAGAATTGGATTGAACGCACTCTGCAATAAGGCCGCTGTTTCAGCAAACACCATAACTGATGATGGTATTTTGAATGTATAGTCGCTGTAGATTTTAATGAGCGTTGTTACAAAATACGGTGTCCAGCATGCGATGAATGTTATAATAATTGCCAGAGTCATCTTAATGGTTTTTACTTTTGCCGTCGATATTGTGTTCTTTGCGGAAGCATTCTGACAGAATTTTCCACTCTGATTTCTAAATGGTTTACCTTGACGCCAAACACACAAAACAACGCTGATGTAACAATATGACATAATGATGACAGGAATTATCAAAATATATGAGGTCAAAAAGGTAAAATAAACCTTTCGTTGCCAAGGCGCTGTATAACCTTGACTTTTACATCCATATTGTACGTGTCCGTTATCAAAAACCTGTTCCTTTGTCTGTACAAATATGAGCAATTGCGGAGAGGCAAATATAAAAGCAAGAAACCAAGATGTTAAACACATTCGTTTGGCTCGTAAAGCAGACGACGGTTGGTGAAACTGGAATGGTCGACACAATGTACAATACCTGTCAATACTCATGGAGGTCAAAATGAATGTTGTGCTAGCCAAGGTTACAATTTGTAGATAAGTCAGTATCTTACACGCAGCATTACCGAGTACCCATTCACCAAATGCTACAAAAAGAATCTCGGTTGTCATAGTTACAAAACAAACAGTTAAATCTCCAACGGCAAGATTAATAATGAACATATTTACTCGACTGTTTTTCTTTCTGTATCTCGTGCAAGAAAGTACAAAAATGATCGCAGTATTTCCTATGATCGTGACAATCATTATAACAATTAAAGACACTACTCGTTGAATAACGTCTGGGGTCCATATTTTATTATCCACCATATGTATCCTGTTTTTACATTCTGTTAAAGACACTGTTACTCCATTTATAGGATGACAATTCCAACTTCCTCCATGGAAATCATAAGAACTGTTATAGTTCATAATGTACTAGTAACAGTCACTGATAAATATTCATGTTATACATCTTAAAGACATACTGTTAAACGCAATGTGTCCGAACAGTGGGACTCACATTTTTCCTCCATTGAATAAAATTATCAGCCTTCCTCAAGTTTGCTTTTTATCACAAATCATTGTCATCCAGGGAACAGTTGCGCGTTAACCTCGTTGGAAACTGCAAATAAAGGAAATAATATATTAGTCAATTTAGTATTCCTAATAATAATCATTACGTAAATCATGAAATTATCAATTTTATATAAATATAGTGGCAAGGATAACTGTTCAGTTTGTCCAGGCTATAACAAGGCGATATAGAGAACATGCATTGTTCCAGTAAAAGATTCAACCAAAACATGTTTAAAACTTTTGATTTGCAGAAATAAACTTCTAGATGGATGTTCCAACAGTGTTTTGAAATTCGGATTGATTACATTCATTTGTGACCAGCCTTTCCCAATGAAAATCCATGCGCCGATAAAAGTAATATTTTCCGAATTAATTAAATATCCTGCCTTTCCGAGGGTGTAGATGGGGTTTACAGAATAGAGAATAATGGGCCAAATCTACAGAAAAATGGTCCTAAAAATAAAGAATACAGAAAAATTCGGCCAAAAAAATAAAGAACAGAGAATAATGGGGTGCTTTACTATAAAGAATAGACAAGAATGGACAAAAGATATATAGAATAGAGGAAAATAAAGTAACAAATTAAAGAATACATAAATGAAGGACCCCCTCGTCAAGACCCTCCTTTACCTTTCTTACGATGAAACAAAAACTAGGTTTTTATTAGTAAACATTCTGTATAACTCTTTTATATAATTGCGTTTAGTCCTTTCATTTGTTAAAGTTGAAGATGAAAGGTAAGATTAAATAAATACGACATTTAGTATAATCCCTTCTTTAAATACGATTATCAACCATTATATGACAAAAAGAAAGTTTTTATTAGCAGTTATAATTTATATTTCCCTTTAGGCGTTAAATCAAGGCGGCATATTGTTCACGACACGAAAAGAATAATTTAACCAAAGATACAATGTTTTGAACAATCCTTTTTCTATTTTGCGAATTATTCGTGAATATAAAAAATGACAGTATTCTTAACTGTTGAAAGAAACCTTACATAGTATGTACCAAGGTGATAACATCCACGTAGTTAGCATAGATCACTAGACAGAATAATGTCTGCATAGTAGCAAAACAGTTAATAAGTTGGTTTCGTTTAAACTTTCTCAGTCTCCTGCTTCGTAGACTACATTTAATTTATAATATTCATTGGAGGTCAAAATTGAGTTTTTGTTTACCATTGACTTTTTTTTCAAATTTAGTCATTGATTGGAATTTTATCTTTATTACACTTCCTTACATATTCGCATGGTAAATTTATGTATTTGTGGTATGTCTTATTCTTACCAATAATTTTCGATCTTAAAAAAAAAAAACAGAACAAAAAAACAAAAAATCAAAAACAAAAAACAAAAAACAAAAAACAACTGGACAGCGTTCTTAACAGTTCTGTTTGACCAAACTGTATTCCATCCATTTTCCTCTTGTCATCACAACTTTAAAGGTCAAAGTCCTTGATATCTTTTATTTTTATATATTTACATTTCATATTAGTTGTCAGATTAAATATATAAGATTTTAAACCTTTCATATTTCGATATGGCACGTCTACTTAAATCGATGCAGTATTGATTTATACGACCTTCCAGAATTTTTATCTATTTTAATCTGTTCAATTTTGAATTTTCGGACAAATTCTGTTAAACGCCCACCGACTCTAGTCTTTCGCTATTGTCTACCTTTCGCTTGGCATTGTTTGTGAAAATTGGTGATTTAAACAAAATGTTATCATCTTTTTTTTCCTCATTTAATTGAAATTGAAATCACTGCGAGATTAACATTTCCATTCGGCTGTGAGGAGACAAAAATAATTACGGTTGACATCCTTAGAAGAGCTATTACGAATAATTCCGACGATAGAAATAGGGGTGTTATACACCATTATGAAGATAATTTAATGTAGATTTACGACATAACAAGTTTCAGTGTGAGAGACAATTGCAGAATCGAAATATAACGGAAGTTCGCGACCAGGTGACATTTCTCAAATATGTGAGTAAGGTACCTTGTGTAAAACCCACCCAAACCCTCATATATTCTGCGTCTGATGTGGAGTCAGTACTTTGTCAGATGTTTACAAATTATAATCTTAACTATTATATATTTAGAAATTAAAAAACCCGAAACACGTATCACCTCTTTGTTATTCATGAAAATTTAGAAATACAATATTTTCAAATGTATAGGTGGGTGTACAAGTGACAATCGCTGATTTAAAAGTTTGCGTGCAGAATATAATGAGTCGAAGTCTAATCGGCAAAAAAAATCAACGAAATTGTTCCATTTAAAATTATTCTACTTCCTTATAAGGTCTATTTTACCTGACGACACTGTTTACATAACAAATTTTGACATACTAGTTACATTTTATAAAGTTTGTTTAAACAAATTTAAGGTAAGATAAAGAGTTTCTGTATTTCGTAAGGTGAAAAACATCTGTAAAAACGAAACCAACATTTCGTTAACGAGAATAATTATTATTAATTTTAACATTTTGCGATTCTTCTTTCTTTTTCAACTGTAATTTGCGTGTGCTGAGTACCGATATACCTACTAGTATATATATCATCTGCGTATTGTGTTTACACATCACAGTCGTTGGCCTTTTTAGATTTTGAATACAAATAAAGAGATGTGGTATGATTGCCAATGTGAATTCCCCAGATGACCAAAGGAACGAGAGTTACAAATCAAATATTTTATTATTCCAATCAGGGTCCCACAGGGGGCATTTACAATTAACAATTATGATAGTATAAGCAACAAACATGAGACATTGTACGGTTTATAACGTGACAGATATTATAATAGACAAATTAAAATAGCATTTATAACAAAAATACATTAAAAGTAGTCTTGAGTATTTTTGTTCCTTTCTTCCTTATTACCATTATTATTTCTATATCCAGCAGTGTAAAAATAAAAAAAAATTAAAAGAATTAAAAAATATTAATAATAAAGATTGAACAAACTTAAATTATTATCTATAAAGATGGAAATTTGTTCATCTGCAGGAGACGCCAAGGGACGGTGTTCTAGGATATACTGTTGATCGCGATAGGCAATAACAGCAATCCTCCCCGTGTCAGAAGCAGATGAACAAAATAAATAGAGAAACTGAATCCGGTCAATTAACAAATAATAATTTTTTTTTAAATAACAACAATTGCTAATTATGCGAAACATGTCATATAAATCTGATATTTGCAGTGTTTAACCAGGAACATACACAACTCTTTTAATACATGTAAACAACTATAATTATAGGTCGTCGTACGGGTTTCAAATGTGAAAATCTTATTTACAAAGTAAGCTATAAAAAAGAACATTAACGGCCAGATTTATACAAAAAAAATTAATAAACGAGAAATATGTTTAATGGCAGACAACAACCACCTACAACCACTGAACTACGAGTTCCTGCCGGGGACAGGCTATTATGTCCACTTGTATTCGAGTGCCATGTAAGAAGTGAGTCCTTATGATTTATTAATTATATCTGTCGAAGCTATGAAAATGCATTCAAATATTTTTGAATAGAAGCATGAATACTTGAGTTCATAACCTGCTTCTACGCACGTGCTTGCCATATGAAGACAAGAAGATGGGGTACACAAAGACAACTATCCACTAGAATCCAAATATCGTGGATGCTAGCAACTATATGTCACTTTACGGCCTTTAACACTGACAACACACCATACCCTATAGTCAGCTATCAAAGGCTCGACATAGAAAAAATGATAAACAATGAAAACAAGAAAACCAACGGCCTCATGTATGACAAACAAGCATAAAGGAGCCTCTGGCCTTTGTTAGTCTTGTATCATTTTTAATTTTAGTTTCCTGTGTATAATTTGGAGTTTAGTATGACGTTCATTATCACTGAACTAGTATACATATTTGTTAAGGGGCCAGCTGAAGGACGCCTTCGGGTGCGGGAGTTTCTCGCTGCATTGAAGACCCATTGGTGGCCTTCGGCTGTTGTCTGCTCTATGGTCGGGTTGTTGTCTCTTTGACACATTCCCCATTCCCATTCTCAGTTTTATAAAGCCCGGAAATATGAAAGACAGCGACTACATTTCCGTTTAGACAATATTTACATCACATATATATTCATGTATCATAATTTCAATTATGCTTTGATTTCTGCGTTTATCAACTTGATACATTAACATGCTTTTGTTTCAGGGTTTTAAAAATATGTATTAAGGTTCAGTTCTAAAATGTTGTTCGCTTCAAGTTGCAGTTTAGCTAGCTTGATATGCATATTACCTATTGTAACAAATGTTTGGATATGGATTTCATTTGGAACTACGTAAGTCCAGACTACATGCATTAAAATATTTTTTGTTCACTTTTAAAATAGAGGCGACATTTATGAAGATTTAAAACATAGCAAACATACACGAAAGTAAGGAGACATGGTTAAGATAAGCGTGTAACTATTCTTGCAAATATGAAAAAGTACATCTAGCAAGTGATTATCAAGGGACAAAGACTTAGATACAGTTTTGATACACAAAAGTATGCAAATGCAAAATATACGTATTGATATCAAAATCACACAGCAGAAGATGAGTGTATTTGATCCAGTTTGTTACGGACAATACCTACCTCATTTATTCGATTCCAATTTAAAACAGTAGCTGTGCTATTTTGTTTACTTACATATGAATCATATAAAATTTACTAATAAACCAAATGTTATAATACGGTACAAACAGAATGCATGCATCAATGTAGTAAATATTCAGCTCTCCGTTTAAGGTTTATTTGTATTTATTAACATGGCACGTGCAGTTTATATATAATAACTGTAGATAAATATATACGTCTAAACTATGAACTTTATAGAACTCCAAAAACTAAAGAGCAACTTTTCATAATATTTTAAAACAAACATTTATTTCTTTCGTGAATTTCAATTCGTATAAAAAATCTACCCTTCGTTGCAATGATTGCAATGTCACTAACGTTAATTGTTGCTCACTGAAATTATTAAAGAACTTTGAAGTTGGAATATGTTGCTTTAAAACATTTTGACGATATTTACCGCTGTATCAATGATTTTATCGTATCAATTATATGAATATGATTATTTACAGATATGGGCTAGCTTATGCACAGAATCACACAAGTCAAGAGTTTCCATATATAAGGTAATGATAAATTATTTTCCTTCATTATCCGAGTTCTTTCTGGGAGATCTAGCTGTATATAATGTATACACAACAACAACAAAAACACACCGACTCCATTAATTTGGAGCAACCATTTCTATTGCATGTAACAATTGAAAAGGGATTGAAACGGTTCCAAATGTTGACAGAATATTTGATATAAACATCAAATTCTGTGAAAATGTAAATCTTTTTAATTTTCAGTTTTGACTTCTAAAAAAAACACATTTTCAACCCAAAAACAAAAATGTTCCAAAATTGATAAGACTGAATTGCGTGTAACGTTTCGCATACAAATAAGGAAAATGTTTCTGATGTTCAGTTTCTTAATCGATTGTGTTCTATATTTGTAATGAAAATTTGAAATTAACTTATCTCACGACTTTTGATTTTTGACATTTTTTTTTTATATAAAATCCACATTGTTATATTTTACTGTAAACCGTTGATAAATTTCAAGGAAATGCTTAACATATACTCGAGATTTACAAATTTAAGCTTAATCAACAATTCTATGAAAATACTGTGTATGGTAAGAAGTGGTGCGTATTTTCTGTTGTTGAGTATTATACATTTGTAGTTCACTACTTTATTTACAAATATCTCACAAAACATAAATTATTTAAAAGTATCATCAGGAGTTAAGTTTTTCCTAGAATGCATTTCGTTACCGACACACAGACACGCATAGTGATAATAAAGGAATTGAAACGAACCGAAGAATATTAATCATGATTATCAACTTTTAATTAACTTGACAAAACGCGCGTCTTGTGTACCAAATTTTAAGTCTGGTATCCTTGCTTTTAGATGTAAGGAACACATGTTAAGGACATTAAGTTTATTCTGTAACACTGGTAAAAAAATCGGATATTTAACGAAATTTAAATTATAGAAAACATACCTGTACGCAATCATCAACAATCACTACAAGTCAAACGTATTAACGAATCTTTTTTTTTTGCGTCGAGAAGCGTATATGTGTACAAGATATTTATTCGATCTATCTTTTTTCAGTTATACTGGTGTAGAAGAACCAGAGAGCGGTATATTTTCCATCTTAGTTGCTGTGTCAGCTATAATGTGTAAGTTGTTTTACAAAAATTATAGTAAACGTTTTGTTTTAATTGGGGCCAACATTAATACCATGACGTTGTGATTGCCAATGAGACAACTACGTGTATCCACCGGTGTATTAATCTAGAATGGACATTACATGCAGGTGTAGTTTCAAAATCAGTATCCAAATATGATATTACAAATGATGGGGGAAATATGAATTCAGCTGATTATACTGGTTTCAATGTTACACTCCAAAACAATCAAATAAACACGCATTTCTTGCTACATTTGTACATACATCTCATTTCACTATAAATGACATTAATGGCTTAGTTAGTTATATATGAAAAAGAATTCCCAACAATATGATTTGCAGTTCAAATTCTAATTTTTCAGTGGTAGTAAATGCTGAAATGAGATACTTATTTATTAGAGAAAAGGTGACAAGAAATCGCGCAAATTTTAATAAACACTGGCAGAGAGCAAATACTGCTGGACTTGTTCTAGCTATATTTTCGTCGTTTGGACTGTTAATGGTAGCATGCTTTCAGGTAATTTAAGTCAACATGATGCTTTCCTTCAAATAAAACAAAATGTATATGCATAAACAAAACCATTTATAGTGTATAACCTGTTGGGATCGTTTTTTTTTATCAACTTCAACAATAGAACCAACCACATTTAGCCACGAAGACAAATTTGTCATAATAGTTTTTGATGCCGTATTATTTTATATTTAGTAATTATTTTCACTTTCTTAGTTCTTAAATCGGAAACATGTAAATATTGTTATTTGTCGAATCCACCGAAAAAAAAATCTAATTAATTTATCAAAGACATTTTTAGGACATTGTATTTTCAAACAGATGGTCCCTAACAGAGTGAAGTAATGCCATTTAAAAAAGTGAAATAGTGCCGTTCAAACAAAGAGAAGTAGTATACGTGCCATTCAAAATGAGTTAAGCAGTGCCGTTCAAAGAGAGTGAAGTATTGCCATTCAAAAAGTTTGGAGTAGTGCCATTAAAAAAAAAAGAATAAGTGCCGTTCAAAGAGAGTGAAGTAGTGCCGTTCAAAAAAGAGTGAAGTTTTGCCATTAAACGGGTGAAGTAATACCATTCAAAAAGAGTGAAGTAGAGCCATTCAAAAAGTGAAGTAGTGCCGTTCAAAGAGAGTGAAGTAGTGCTATTCAAAAAGAGTGAAGTAAAGCCATTAAAAAAGAATGAAGTAGTGCCGTTCAAAACGAGTGAAGTATTGCCGTTCAAAAAGAGTGAAGTAGAGCCATTCAAAAAGAGTCAAGTATTGCCATTTAAAACTTTTTTATTTTGTAGGTTGATACCATGTTTCCACCCCATATTGTAGGTGCTGCCATAGCTTTTATACCACCAGTGGGATACATGTGTATGCAAACAGCTCTCACATTCAAGATTAAGAGAGCACGATGGGAGCGTGTGTGGCAATGTATTCATTCTGTTGTCACATGTATAATTTTTACTATTTGTATCCTTTTTTACTACCTGTAATGATCTTCATTGATCAACCGAAAAGACATTTAATATTAAAAATCGTATAATCTATGAGAACATATCAAATCATTTACATTTTTTTTTAACATGGTACATATCAAACATAATATCTCCATTAGTTCATGAGTTTTCCTCATTCAAAGTTTTAAAATTCTCTGTAACATAAATTAGTCACAAACTTCGTAATATTTTCCTTCAATTTTGTAAGTCCATCGCAATACAACACACACACAGTAAAACGTTTGCAAATAAGTGATATCCAAGCGTGTGTCATGTAGTATCAATTATATTTGGATAGTCAGAAACGTTTAATGTACTTAGGCTACCTAATATTTCGTCGCTAGCATAACACATAAAGTATATTCCAAAAACATACAGACTGGTGTCATACAGACTGGTGTCCTGTACACTATAATCACTACTAAATTTCGTAAAGTTTTTTTGGATCTTTTATTCATTTATCTATTTTATTTTATATATCTTGTATATATCATGAACACGATTAAAAACAAACAATTATGATTAAATCAGTTAAATCAAAGCTATTTATCCGAATCATTATCGATATGCATGCATTGCATTGTTGCTTTGAAACTCTGTAATGCCATTTCAAACCTCAGCTAAAAAAGCCCATTTAACGATTTGAATTAAAGCGTTGTGGCTTACCGGCTTTTTTAAAAATCATAAATGATACAAAATAAATCATAATTATAACTTGCTATGTTATCAAATTAAAATAAATCGTGTTTAAGCTCATCTCTTTCATGATGTAAAATATTCCGCTTAATACTAATTTTTGTGCGCACGGCTCTTTTGACTTGAAAAAAAAACACTGATTCAGGATCTTTGTCAGGACGTTGGGATTGGGCCCTTATTTTTGCGGTAATTCTGGAATTAAACTTATGACGGGAGGAATTAATAATTATGTTTTCGGGATCTGGGAAAGCAAACTTTATTTTCTCGGAACTCGGGATTCAGCGTTTATACTTTTCCAGGAATCAGGGATGATATCCTTTCGTAAACCCTTCAATTTATGCATACAATGAGATTCAAAATTTAGATAAACTGAACAAAATATGAAATATTAAATTAAGATGTTACATTCGTTGCAGAAATGTAATGTATGTTCCCCTCCAGAAAATGTATAGCTTTAATTTGTAATTTCTCACCACTCTAATGGATAATTTCCTTAATTTTCAATATAGTTATTGTATCTTTTATATATTATAAAATAGATGAAAAGGTATGTACATAAATGCAGTGTAATTCAGTTTAAAAAAAAAAAAACTATTTCCGTGTTACTGTTCATTGAAATAGATTTTTTTAGAACACTGTTCAAACAATTTAATTTGTTTTGTTTTGTAGTTGATATAATGACGATTGTTTTCATTTTCATTGATATTTTTCTTATTCCTGGGCGTTTTTCAAAAAATGTCCACTTTCTCTGTCCAGGGCTTAAATTGTGATAAAATCATATATATTTTTGTTTGTCTAAGTCTGTAATTGAACTTATTAAAAACAATGACAACGCATTTTGTCTGCTTTGTGGTAAGGACTCTTTCAAAATATCAGAAAAAAGTGCTCAAAAACAGCAAAAACGCTCTGTCCACATTTGAAAGTATATTCAAATGTCATACAATTTACCAATCTTTTTAGCTCATAGAGCTACATTTGAACATTACAAAAAGAATTCAGATATTGAGATAAGTTCAAATAGATTTGTGCTACTTTTTAATTGGCGTCCATGAAAAAATGTCCACATCGCAACGACAACAAACAATTGGCAAAATAATTGCAGTCTTTCCTTTTACTTGCTACTAATACACTTTCATTTAGTAAAATGATGGTCATCTTTGGATGCTTATGATGTAGTTCGTCTTGCAATTGGCAAGTCCTATTGATAGCGTACTTTTTTTACTTCTCCACTTTGCAACGTCTTTTTTTAAAGAAATGTTGACCTCAAATCATAAAAAACGTGAAATAAAATGCATTATCTAAGACAATAATCATAAAAATATGTATCTGAGAAACCACGTGTAACAACAATGGCTGCTAACATGTAAATACGTCAACTGCGCAACGGTCCACTACGCAACATTTCGTTTCGAAGTGGACACAATCCGTTGCGTAGTGGACACAGATCGTTTCGTAAGGAACATATATCGTTACGCAGCGGACATTTGTGAATATTTTAAAAACGGTTTGTAATATTTTCTAGTAGCTGAAATTGCAAATCAAATAGTTAAACCGTATAAAACCATTTATTTTGTCAGATTCTTGAAGGCAAAAATTCCTTTAAATTCTATTTTTTTAGCATGGTAAAGCCTTAAAAAGCGTTGCGAAGGGGACATCTTGGTTTACCATGTTCACTTTTACAGAGTTGTTGTCAAACTTACCGTTCATTTTAAGGTTGCATATTTTGTATTTAGTTTATACTGATGTTAAAGTTTTGACATGAACAATTAAAGCACTTATTTCTCAACCTTTTTTTTTCATTTTCCAGTTGTCAAAAATGGACATTTTTTTTAAAAAGGCCCATATACGTTAGGTTCAAGTTCATTTTGATAACCAGGTATTTACCTTTAAAAAATTATTTCCAGGACAAAATAAAGAAGGTTTTATTGTTGGCAAAAATTACAGAACTGCTACTCGCATTGTTACTTTACGCCTTTATCTTGTCCTTTGTGGGATGTTTTAGAGAAATACGTGTATTTAAAATAGACGTTCAGCTAGCCGAAGATCACTATAGGAACCGAGATCAAGATAATGGAAAGGTAATTTTCACAACAAATACAGTCATATGATCCTTCAGATTTGATAAACAGGTTTAATATGTTGTATATATACTTAAATGGCAGAAGTTATACTATCAAAACGTGTACATAGACTTTTTTGTTATACATGTGTAGAGGAAAATCCTTTATTTTATCAAAATCTTTAGTGATGTACTGCTATTGAGTTGTTGTCTTCCGTACTCTAATTCGCTGACAGCTTTCCGTATTCAGTAACCTTAACCATGACACGTTTCGTTAGAATTTCTTCAATTGCACAGCGTTAGTGCGAGGGAAACACCGTGATGAAAGAAAGGTAAACAAACTGGAACAGAAAATAGTATTAACCAATTCTGAAGAAATATATAAATACACCAAATCACTGAGCAACAGTTATGAAAAAGTTTAATTAACAAAAGGGTATGCATGTAAGGCATTAAAAAAACAAAAATACATATCTTTATATCGTCTCACTTGTTTCCCATGTGCTCCATGCTTCTGTGTTGAATGTTTATCAACAAGTAACGATCGGTATAATTCGGCGTCTAAATCCGAAAGTTTATTTGCAGGTCAAATTTTCGATCAACAATCACAGGATAAAATATTTGTTTTTTGTCAATTATACACAATGGATTCGTAATAAATGTTAAAAAAAACATTCGCAGAGGACTTAAAATATGCATGCAATTATTTCGTCAGCATAATATTTACCAGAAACTCGTTTCATATGAATTTGAATCTATAGTTTGACGATTTTGATGTGGCATGCTATCCAAATCATTGTCGTTTAGACCTATAACTAGAAACAGAGTTGGTTTCATTATATATACAAAGGATTTTATTTATTTTTATTCCATGCACATTATAGTTATCCAATACTAGTACAAATGTGTACTGCCACGTTACCTGATTTAAAGACCGAAATATAAGATACCATTCGTCCTTGGCATTTAATAAATGTGGACTAATACAATAATAATTATTTCGGCCTCCTTATCTATGCAAACTATTTCCTTTATATGGAAACCAATGAGTAGATTGTACAAAGGCATGTAATGTTCATGAACATATATAGTTTTGATAGTATAGAAAATACTTGTATAAAACAGGTACTAATTAGTCCAAGCTAGTGTTGGTTGAAATAACAATAATGCACGCACGTAACTTTAATGTATTTTCTGAGAAAATTAATGTCTAGATATCGGCTACTTTGTGAGAAAGTCTCTTCATACAACCCTCATTGGATCAACTAAGTGGAGATTAAATTTAATATTCTTTACGTTGTACATACATGATTGAATGCAAGCGTTTTGTCAAATTATGTTGTAATCAACAGCAGATAAACGATTGTAAACATCTAAATTATCAATGTAAGCCTAACTTGAAAATAAAGCAAGTACTCGCTTCAAAGAACTTTAATTGTGTGTTGATAAACAAAGGTTAACCATGTGATTTGAAGATTGATTTATTGTTGGTTGCCCAAAAGAATAAACCATAAAGAAATTGACATCTCTTTGACTTTTCTTATTTGCAAACTTTACCTCTTTGACTTGTAAGATAGAAACATCATTTCCTCATGTTCCTAAGGAGAATATATAAATACGGGCAAGATCTTGCATTTGAATAAATACAACTTTTCTAGTGACTAAGTGATCTTACTTTTTAAAAATTGACAATGTTACCTCATTTTGATTTGGTCTCTGTATTGTTTTCCACATGTTTCAGTTGAAAAAGTATTTGTGGATAGTATATTTGTGCAATTTAATTCATTACTGTTTAATGTGCTGTATGTTTTCATTTTTTTCTTTAATTGGAAGTTTTATCAATTATCATTGTTAAGTTACTTTTTTTTTATTTATTACAATTTCCCATCCTTTTTGTGTGAACAAATTTAATAGCAACAACTCGGAATAAGTCAATGTACTGATCAACTGTTTTTCAATATTTTCCACACCATGTAGATTTTATTGATATAGCATGACACTTTATGAGTGCAAACTAGTAGCTATAGTGAGAAATCCTATAGTATTTCTGTGGTTGCTGATTATTGAATAATATAATGCGTTTTGTTTTTATTTTGCTCTCGTTGTTTTGTTTTGAAATTAAACAACTTGTCTTATGCTTAAATGAAGCGACAGTCATTTTCAATCAAGTATACATTGTATTCCTTATTCTGGCGTATGCTGATAGATTGAACATACCTCTAATATCATATTAGAGAGCATTGGTTCCCGGATATTTGGTGATATAAACGCATGCACTTCTGATCTGAGCAACAGTGAACACATGTCCTCCTATTTCAATTTCATATAATATTTTGTATTATTCTAAAGAAACTTTCAACAGGGGTTTTACAGTGATCTATCATTTAATACATATACATGTACCATCCAAATGATGTGCTTATTAATAAAGTTTCAGCTATGCGTTCAAACTATTTTGTCTGAAATATACAATACTCTCGTGTACGTTTTTTTCTGACCGAGCCATAAGAAAGAAGTGGTTCTATACCTAAAACGCCTGTCCCATCTTGTTTTTTTAAGAAGCATGAAATATATATGGGAATAATCTGTTTACATTATGGTGTTAAAATATATGAAATTCAATGTAGTTGCTTGTCTGATTAGTGTTAGAGAGATGTTTTGCGCAATACCATTATTTTCTTTGATGTAAATTAAAGCTGAATAAAGGAAATGTTATGATTATACTCTACTGGTCTTGATTTTCTGCATTTTTGCACATGAATATTATTTTTCTGCATATATAATCAACCTCATTTGTTTGAATTTTCAAGAACCAACTTTTATTTCTGTTGTAGAAATTGCAATCGAAAAAGAACTCCAATACGTACACCTATATTTATTTATGTTTTACATTAATACGCGACCAAGTTTTAAGTGCCAATCTGCCTAAGAATCAGGCAGTGGTGAAAACATGACAAACAAAAACCCACTCAAGTTGACATTATTTTATGTTCAAAATGTATAATGGTGCACCAATATAACATTTGTTTCCTTTTTTCTGTTCTGGTAGTTTAAGATATAATTTGGTTTAAATGCAATAGAAATTAACAATTAAGGGAAGATAACTCCGTAATTTACTATCCATCTAACCAAAAGTTATCTAGAGATTCTCGAATTATCAGACACATAGAAATGAAAGACCAACCATTTCAAATTCAGGAAAAAGACGGGGGTAACTCCAAAATAGGATGATAAAGTCGGTGGGTTTTTTCCGACCAAGAAGAATTCTATCACAATAATAATAAGTGTCAAGACTTGTAGACAATTATGTAACAGACTTTCATAGATTAGTGTACTGTTTTGTATCAAATGTTAATGAATGCGTCGTAAAAGAGCATTTATCTTCTAACTAATGTATTTATTAATGTATGTCCATTTATCCCTTATTTTAGTCTGAAAATGCTTTGACGTCTGACGGCTTTTTTGTCACTGGGTTGGGACGCTGGACGTTAAAGCGAAGTCCATATAGAAAACATGGGAGTAACATAAATAAGGAATCACATAATATATGATTTATCTTCGTGAAAATGGAACTATTACAATTTCGAGACAGAAACTTACCGCCTAAAGTTTGACGGATACGGTATGACGGACATCGAAACCCATCAAATCCGAAAAAAAGGCCGTCATACGTGAGAGCAATCTCGGACGGTCCCCACTTTATAATTAATATACTTTTGAATGAAATCAAAATGCACGTCGATTTGTTTTAATCAATCATCTGTTTAATTTCAGCTGCAGGAACCTTTAACCGACACTCCGACTGTTTAGCTTTATATTATGTTATATTCATATTGACATGCACGGTAAGTTCCTCTTACTTAATTAATCACTATACTATCGGATTGTCGATAACCTTTTGTGATCGACTAATGACCCCAATCTACACAGCATTAGTAACATGTCAACATTCCATGAATAGAATAATATCAAAAATAGGGAGATGTGGTATGATTGCCAATGAGACAACTACCTACCCACATCCAAATGAAGTGGATGTGGGAATCATAGGCAACCGTACGGCCTTCAACATCGAGAAACACCCATATCGTAAAGTCGGCTATAAAAGGCATCGACATGAAAAATATGAAACAATTCAATTGAGAAAACTAACGGCCTAATTCATAACAAAACATTTAACGAAAAAAAAATATGACAGACATGAAGCAACGACAACCACTGAACTACAGTCTCCTGACTTGGGACAGGCACATGCAGAATGTGGCGGGATTTAACATGTTTGTGACACTCAACCCCCGCCCCCCCCCCCCCCCCCCCACCCCCCCCTAACCTGGGTCAGTGGGGTTACAGCAAAACATAAGAAAAGACTATAAAAATCAGTTGAAAATGGCTTAACTCATCAGATCGGTAAACAGCAGAAAAACATCTAACAAAAACACAGACCGGACGTGGCAGGGTATTTATACATCCCTAACAACAAAAGACACAAAGTACAGATCTGAGAGTACTCACAGTTACTGACAGCTAGTTCAAAGCTAATAACAAAAGTAAAAAAAAAACATGTATCTAAGACTAATATATCAATCAGTACACTTCCAACATCCAATGGATTTAATGTAAAGACATCATTAACAGTCAGAGAAAAACATGACATTGTGCAATGCCAAACTATAGATATCGTTAGATTGAAGTACCGTGAAAGTGCATATGTATATAAAATACTAGTTAGTATAGTTTCAATTTACTGATACCAAAATCAATATTTATACCAATAAAAACAATATTCAAAGATCGAATTATAATGTTGAATTGGTAACCTTTTATAATAAGTTTATTTAAAGAATTGATAAGCTAATATAGGATATATATAAATTTCCAGGCTTTTACCTAAATGGTTTAACCCATTTCTCTGACGTCAGTCTATTATTCTTACTGTAAATTATTTTTTTAGAATCAACTGTCCACTGTGTTAACTTAAGATAACTTACATTATAACTTTTAACTTATGGTCTTTTATCCTCCCAAAAACGAATTTCATATGAAGGGTTCGAACTCGCGCGTATTTTCATCGTAAATCATTATAGTCTTCAGTCTATGCATTAATACGCTTAATTGTCAATACATGTCAATACACTGGATTCTGTCTCATTGATAATTAGCTTCTGTAATCAATGAAATATATATTTGTCTTGGTTTGTTTATGTTTTTTTCAAATTTTTTTTATTTGTTTTATTTAAGGGTATTATTTTTTTTAAGGAAGATTATTGTTCTACATTTGAACGTTCTTGAGTATAATTATATAGCAATATCAAAGTATAAAATGACAAGTGAAAAAATAAATGAAAATTTTATTTAAAATTATAAAAAAAAGTTTATTCCGGATGTCAGGTTTGAATATTGGTCAAATTTTAATATCGTTGCAATTAACTGAACCCATATACGATTGTGGCTATAACACATTAGTTGTTACCACTATAAAATCAAGGAATTGTATATCAGTACAATTATTTAATAAAATAAACTTCCATATGCCCATTACACTTGTCACTTTTAACGTACAAGGACTTTCAATTTTCTTTTTCATCATAGCAAATGCTTACCTATGGTTTTAGTTTTATAATATTATCATGCTATCAATCAATTTTTCTTTTTTTTTATTATAAATGGTCCAAATATGCATCACGTCAACATTGAACGGCCTTTAATTTGAATAGGGTGTGATATAAAAGCCACGACTGTAAAACTACTTCTTTGACAGTAAAAGAACACAAACATCATCGCCATTATATAAAAATGAAATATATGATACCTCTTAGATTAAAATAATATTTTTGGTCGAGAAAAAATTTAATTCCGGGTACAAGGTTTGAACTCCGTACTGTTAATATCACCGTTCTGACTTTCGTTACATGTACCAACGACTATGGACTGCTTGATTGAAATCAAATAAAATCAACATAACTATACATTGGCAGCAGGAGCAATTCGGCTGGGGATTCGGGAATGCGTCCCACAGATAATACTAGCTTATTGACTGATTGAAGATGGATGCCTAATGTAATAACAATAAATTAATCTAAACTTAATGAAACGGAAACCGTTTAAACAAAATTTATATGCAAGTGTTCAAATAAAACCTTTAGGACATACTTTTTATTTATGCAGGAAAGCAACATGGTTTTCTTTTTAATTAAAAATAACAAAATGAACATGCAACATGAATTCGGAGACATACACATGTCTCTGATGAATTTGAGCAACATGAGACGGTCGGTTTGTGGCAGTATCGCTAATCTTATAGATTAGGATGAGTAAGAGTAATTGGTAGCCAGACCACAGATAACTTAATAGATTTTCCTAATAATATATATATATATTTCAAAGGTTCTAAATTTTGGTAATTAACATTTTCAAACTTTTCAAATCAAGATAAATATATTCTGTATATTAATATATGTCTTTTTAAGGTAGCACAATACAAAGATTTTTTCACCCCAAATCAGACAACTTTAAACTGATGTAATTTCTTTCATCCAGCTTTAAATTTTATAAATGAGGTACCAAAAGAAAGAAGAATGATTAATATTTCATATGGTGATAATTTCATTATGACATAATTATTACATAATTGATTATTATGTAATTAGTTGCTATATTGTGATGTTCACACTTGAATGAATTTAGCTTCTTTGTTATTCATACCAAACCAAAATATTTTATAGATTCTTGTACAACACACTTTGACCTCCAAAAGGGTGTCTCAGATTTTTCCTATTGTATTTCATTCTCTCATAAACCTTCAATGAAGTTTGCAACCTCAATTTATAAGAGATCGCTAAATTTAATTGGGTATAAAATTTGTTCTATTGATGTTTTGGGAAATCTGGGAAACCCTTTTGAAGATAACTGGTCAAGGAACAACATTTGTGAAAATCAGACATATAGGGGCACCCATCTAGGAGCTATTACATTTTAAACTTGAATTTCATGATAAAAATGAATGTGTCACAATTGAGTAAATAAGGATTTTCCTACTTGTACCCCCATTAAATTCAATATAATTCACACATGTACCATGGAGATACTTCAGGATTGGCCATTAATCATAAATCAATTAGGTTTTGACCAGCAAGAAAGCATTCCATTTCAGCAATTCTAAATATATAAAGAAAATGCACACCCTATGCATCAAAAATCAGATCTGGCGGGAGATGTTATATCATTATTGACCTTGCTGTAAATCAGTTGCTACTGATATGGTCAAAACTCCGCCCACAATGATAAAACTTTACTATTAATGATCTCAGAAGTTTAATTACACATTGCATTTACTTTTTTCAATATGGATTTTATTCTTTTAGTACATAAAATAATATATTTTGATTTTTGCATTGTTACAAAATGTAAGTTATGCATGTGTACACAAAATGACCAGTTGGTCAGTCTAGAGGATCATTATGGGGGATTTCTAGAATTATAAGTGTAAACAATGGCAATATGGTGTTTTACACAAAGTAGATTTTTTCATTTTTGCAGTTTGAAAATGAAATATTTAATTTGTATTTTCTTTTAAAAAGAATTCATATTTAAATTTTTCTCCTTAAGAAATTCTAGTATAAACATCAGCAACATTTAAAATTGTTGTACAATTATATTTGTTTAATATCTATACATTTATATTTTGATTCCCTCTATATCTCCTAATAGTAGTTTTGTTTTTTCTCCTGGTAGCTCCAATATAGAAATGTATTTTTTTTTTTTTGGAAATCATTATCTTCATTTTTCCATAAATCCCTAATCTACCTCTTTTTCATAACTGTTATTTTTATTGCTGGTCAGTGGTCATAAAGCTATCAAATGATTCTATTGATTAACCACAAAGTACTGCCCACATGTTTTTATCTAATATCAGTAAGACACGTGCATTTGTTTATAAATTAAACTAATTATCCTCAAAACTCATTAACAGTGCAAAATATGTAAATAAATTTTTCTTCTGTGGTTTTGAAATATTAAGAAGTAACAAAAACAGCTGAAAATGAAATTTTCATAAAATTTAGTTGCTTTTGTATTTTGCTACCTTAAATAAATCATAAATACCAAAATCTATTCAATTAAAATAATTTGTAACTATTAAACATTAAATGAAATAGTCATTAACCAATATGAAATTTGGAGTTAAAAAGGGAAGCTAACACCTCATTTAAGTTATATTTAACTTATGTTAACTTGTCGAATTTCTAAATATAGATGTGAACCATGTGGATATAATTATTTCCAACTATTATAGAATAAAAAAGACAAAATAACAAAATACCAAATGAAATTCCGTTGATTTATTGTCAAAACGTTAAACAGACAGTCGTTCAACTAGAAATGGGTTAAACTAGAGAATTTATAACAAGTAGTGGATTCGGAAACGACTTTTACGTTTACGAATCCACTACTTCTTATAAATTCTCTAATACGTAATGTTGTATGAATGATGATATGCAAGAATAGAAAAAATTCAACTCACGCTTTTACCTGCATTATGCCCTAATATTTTTATCGTGGTGTAAGAAGACTTACATTTTATAATTAGATAAATGAATAGAGATTAAAGAAGGATAAAAAAAACATCAAATTTTAATAATTGAATAAAAATAAACAACATATTTTCTCAAATTGTCTTGAGCACTGTTCATTGACAAACATTGTATAAGCTCTTAGGGCCTAAAAGATAAAAAGACATAACGAAAAACAAGTCCAAACACAACGAGATATTCAGCAACATGAACCCCACCAGAAATGTTATTTGATCTAGTGTACTTCCCAAAGTTAGGCAATTAATGCTGCTCCAGGAGCATCATGACTAAGACAAATCCGATGATAAATCACATTCCGTAATTTCATAAAAGTTGAAAAAGGAAAGGAATATTTTGACTATTGCAAATTAAACATCTGCAGCCATCTGTGATAAATATATTCTGTAACGAAAACCAAATGGTAAAAGCGATTGTTATTAGTGATAAATATATTCATCCTTTTCAGGTTATATGATAGAATGCAGTGATTAATTTGGATTACAAATATTGTATGACAATGATGATTATAAGACTATAGATAAATGTGATATAGCGTTAGAATGGTAAACTTCCGAGGCATTGATGCATAATAATATAGAATGTATATTTAAGTATTGTAAATACAATAATTATATTTTTCTTTACAACATAACTATTTTTAATTAGTTTTCAGCCATTTTCATGATGCTTGTAATAATTTTTGTTTAAAAATTTTAAAAGATTTTTTGCATGTTACATTTTTTTACTTATCTAATTAACAAATTTCAATGTACAAATTATATTGATGAATAATTTTAAGTGGTTATATTTTTGCAACTTTTATCTTTTGAAAATGATTTTTTTATGGTTACTGTTAGAAGTTGTTGATAATATGAATGAGTGAATATGAAATTATTTGTAACTATGCCGTGCTTTAACATTTAACAACAAAAGGTTTTTTTTCTTCAAAAACTTTATTGAAAATTAAACTTGAGTCCAACGTACTATGCATTGAATCTTCTGCCAGGAGTTAGATTTTTTATTTGGTAGTTTTTCCATATAGTATTGGTATTTAAAATATTAATATGATACCTTGTTAATAATGTTAGTTTGTCTGATACTTGAATGTTACTGTCTTCAGTATGTATATCAAGTGTACTTCTGAGAACAGAAACATATATCAATGCAGGACAATCAAGGGAAGATCAGTTAGTTTTTGTCATAGGCAGGTGCTCCTCACAAAAAGGAGCTACTTATTAAAAGGTTCTTTTGTATTGTTTGATTTAAGAAAAAGGATATACAAAACATGATGTATACTTAGCATTATTAGCAAATAATTTAGACATATATCGTTTCTAGTTTTATTTTCAAGTTATATAACTTAACATATTTTTTGTTAAAAAAAAACGGTTTGATATTGAATCATAAAATTATGTAAAATGTAAATTATTTCTTTAAGATATGATGTTTACACTCGTTATGTGTGCACTTATGATTATTTTATTTTGGTCGATTAAAAAATGTTATAAAAATATGTCAAATCTGATTGTTTTCTTTACAATATACATAGTACAGTTATTGAGAATACCGTACGAAAATCTATGTTTAAACATTCGTATTGTAGTGTAAAGGAAATTGGTTTTTATACGACCGCAAAAATTGTTTTGGGTTCGTATAATACTATGATGTTGTCGTCGTCGTCTGTGTCGTCGTCTTCGTCGTCCGAAGACACATTTGGTTTCCGGACAATAACTTTAGTCTAAGTAAATAGATCTCTATGAAATTTTACAAGAAGGTTCAATACCACAAATGGAAAGGTTGGGATTGATTTTGGGGGTTATGGTATTAACAGTTTAGGAATTAGGGACCAAAAAGGGGCCAAAAACAAGCATTTTTGTAGTTTCCGGACAATAACTTGGATGCAAGTGTATGGATCTCTCTGCTCTGACATTGTACCACAAGGTTCCATATCACAAAGGGAAGGCTGTGATTTAGATTGGGGGTAATTGCCCTACACATGCAGGAATTGGGGGCAAAAAAGGGGCCAAAACAAGCATTTTTCTAGTTTCCAGACAATAACTTGTGTTTAAGTGTATGGATTTCTATAAATTGTACTACAAGGTTGCATACTACAAAGGGAAGGCTGGGATTGAGTTTGGGGGTAATTGCTCAAACGGGGGGGGGGGGGGGGGGGGGGGGGAGTATTGCACAATATATTTTTAAGACCTTTGACCACATTTATGTTGTGTCAGAAACCTATATTAAATCAAAAATTTGATCACAATCCAAATTCAGACAGTATCAAGCTTGAATATTGTGTCCAAATGTGCCCCAACTGTTCAGGGTTCGACCTCTGCGGTCGTATCAGGCTGCGCTAAGCGAAGCATTTTATTTTTTATGAATTCGCGACAAATAAAATATTGTTTAAACATGTCAAACTTAAGACTTAAGTGAAATTTAGAAAACTCGTACAAGAAATATAAGTTCATGGACTTCCAGAATGTGTATTTACACAATGTTTTATGTTTCTAAGAGCTTACAAACATTCATAATGAATCTGATTTCGATAACAGTAGAGATTACTTTTTTATAAAAAAATGTATAAAACTGTTTTATACAAACTGTGTGTGCTTTCACTACAAATTTATATTTAATAAATGACATTATTACGTATTTCATAAACACTATACATATATGATTGACAGACAGAACAAAAACTTTGTTTTTTATATGTAGGAAATATAGATCTTATATAAGACTAACATGAATTATCATGAGTTTGAACATTTTGACTGACGATTGTGCAATTCGTGACCATTATAAAATAAGCGTAGATAGATGGACAAGCCAACTTATTTATTTTATCGTATCGTCAACTATCGTGTCTTACAATGTACAGTGAATGACTTTTTACCTTTATAAAAGTGGCCTACCACAAAGACTTATTGTTAATTCATCACATAAATCGTCTCCCAGTCTGACAGAGTTCAGATACCTTACAAATGTATATAAAAATATGGAGATGTGGTATGATTGCCAATGAGACAACTATCTACACAAGTTCAAATGAAGTGGATGTAAGCAAGTATAGGCAACGGTACGGCGTTCAACAATGAAAAAAAACCCATACCGTATAGTTGGGTTTAAAAGGCCCCAACATGAAAAAAAAGAAACAATTAAATTGTCAAAACTAACGACCTTATTTATAACAAAACAAGCTACGAAAAATAAATATGACATACATGAACTAACGACAACTACTGAACTACAGGCTATACCAATTTGACATTTTGTTCTCTTGACTCCACACATTTTATATTTCACGCGGTACTTGCAGTTAGACAACAACCCATTTAAATTATACAATGTAGTTGAACTTCAAGTTCCTAATTTCTTGCGTTTTATTTTATCGATAGTGAGACCTGCACCTTTGAAGGACATTGATTGGTCAGTTAAAGATTAATAACGCATAATGTAATAGTATTACCTCTTCACGAAACCTGATCCAATCTTGCAATCACCATTCATATCTCACTTATAATGTACATTTTCTTCCATACGAAGTTTGCAGATATGAGTGTCAAGTGATAATTGAACAAATCGATATTGGAGACACTGTGATTATCGTGTTGTAAGAAATATTACTTATTTCTCAATTGATGTAGAAAGATTGAAGAAAATTTCAATCTCGCCACAGAAAAAGTAGAACATGTATTTATAATTCTATAATTTTAAACGAATATCAGAATGAAAACAGATTAGTTACCTTTTTGCTGTTTTTGACCTTCCGTCCCGTATTAAAAAATAAGATACAGTTTTCTACCCGATTAGGTTGACAAATACATCTGAAAAAAATATATTTAACAGCTTTTAATTCCAACATAGATTTTATTAATTATTAGTCTTACTCAAAGTTCAAATCCTGATATATTGTTTCAATATACATGTCCATTAAAGGGATATCGGTTGGTATACTTACCCGGATAAAATATGTCTAAACAGTAAACTTTTGCATTGCTTCAGATTTGTACGAGTCTCGATATTACAACATCCTCCAATATAGAACACAATATAACAACAAATAATTCACTAAAATAAAAACAAGTTTTGGCCAAATGAATAAAAAATGGAGTTTTTGTTTTTTTGTTTTTTTTTTGTTTTGCATTTAATTCATCATAATGAAATGATAATTAACCTTTATATTTCTGTCACTGCTTTATGTCCATAAATTAGTCTTAGCAGACGTTTTAGTTTTGGTTTTTATCTTGTTGTTGTTGCAGACAGTATTACATGTACAATGTTTTATTTTTATGTTTTTTCCTGAATGAAAAGTTGAAATATGTTGGCCTACTTTTGGTGCAGTATCACCGCGATTCGCTACATTATTCTCGTGTCTAGCATGCATAAATTTCGTATGACTAATATATGGTCTGTGTAAGTATTGTATTTTCACTGAAAGGAAACATTTATCTTATTGGAGCTCATTGATTTTTTTTTATATTTACCAATATTTCCAGAAAAAAAAGAACATTTCTGCAATATTTGGCTCATGAAACTATTTTCCTTTTGGGTATGATAACATGTAATCGCAATCGCGTTTGTTTCTGACAATGGCTCACGAACAAGTATCAAATCACAATTCTAAAAAGAGAGGATACCAAGGGGTTAACCCAAAACCATAATTCGAAGAAAAAAAGAAACATCCTTGTCAAATTAAAAACGATGAAAAGACACCTGGACGTCCGCATCACGAGCATCATCATAAACAACGGAAGTGAACATACGTGCCCAGAAGAGTAAGCAGATCCTGTTTCTTTAAATAGACTCGTATTGTTGCTCATGGCAAGTAAATATTTGTTAATGTCACAATCAATTAAAAGAGAATGGGAAAGTTTTTATTATAACGGAAACATATGTATGACCTAAATATTTCAACACAGGAAACTTTTTATATCTTACATAATTTCAATATGTATGAGATATTTTGTTGAAATTCGTCTTGTGTCGCTGCCACTTATTAGGATTATGTCTAAACTAGTAATTTGTATTTTAATTATGTTCAAAAAGTTATATGTTCTCCACCATTGCAACAAACCAAAGGTTTTTTCGAAGGATTATCGTAAATGTTCATTTTGTGTCACAGCACAGTGTCTAAATATTTTCAGACCAATGTTTTTGATTGGCCTTGGAATTATTTTATTTTGCGTATGTTGAAAATACAAAGTTAATGTTTTGCAAATGTCATTAAGTCATGTGACTCATAATGCAGGACATAATTCACGAAACCGGATGTTATAAAAAAAAAAGATTTGTTGTCTGAATGTTATAATCCTATGCCAATAAGCTATTTTCGGAGTAATTACGGTCATTAATTAAGTAGACTTGTAATATTGTTCTTAGAATTATCAATGAACATAATGCTAAACTGATATTTAATAGTGACAATAAATGTCAGACCTTGCTGGCAGATAAGCCTACACATTGGTGTTATTTTCATATAAAACATCTATAAAAATCGAGTTTTGATGATAAGGAAAATAATAATGCCCTCTATGCAGCATTTGAAGTTTCTGTTGTAATTGTTGCAATATATAAGAAACGACATTGTTTGCTTACATATTCAGAAATTCATTTGTAATTTGAGATGAAAATATCTACAGTGTCACATACATTGACTGACTTTAAAAAAAAAATCATTTTAGGTCACATCTTTTTTATTCATTATTTTTCTTACGATTTGTATTATATTATCACGTTCAAATAATCCTTTCTTAAGTTGTCGATATACAAAAATATAGTCGTATTCATACATCGTCTCTCCTTGAATATTAATTATCCAAAGACAATTTTCAACATTATTGCCTTCAAAATTTTCAACGGAACCTGAAGAACACTTACTTTTCTTTACCATGATACGTAAGTAAACAGTTGTGACATCTAGTAAGATATTTCTTTTATTTAATACTATGGAAATAGTGGCTATTACAGCATATCATTATCATAAATGTAACCCTAACGGTCAACCATGCCAGGTGGCATGAGAAAAAAACTGAAACGCAGCAAATGCAATATATCTCATAAGATTTTATCATTTTTTGAATATTTTGTTGAAATTTGACTGCTGTCGCTACCACTTGTACAGATTTAAGTCTAAATTAGTAGTTTTTATTTGGAATGTATTCACACGTTCACATATTCTCCACCATTGATTTAGTAAAAGGCAGTCATTATTTATTTTGCCTCGCATGAAAAATATTTTTAAACCGATGCTGTTTGGTTAGCCTTGAAATCATCTCATTTTTCTGGCGTCGTAAATCCAAAAATTAATATTTAACAAAAGTCACTTAGTCATGCGACTCATAATTCAGATCATTATTCACGAAATCGAATATTGGTGAAAAGGGCGATTTGTTGTCTGAATGTTATAATCCCATGCCAACTTCAGATTTAATAAGTTATTTTCGGAGTAATTACGGTCATTTTTAACAGACTTGCAATACATGCTTACATTTTTAATGGACCTAATGCTGAACTGATATTTAACAGTGACAATAAATGTCAAACCTTGCTGGCAGATTAGCCTACACATTAGTTTTAATTTCATAAAAAACGTCTATAATAATCTTGTTTTGATGATGAGGAAATTAGTTATTTAAGGAATGACTGTAATATTTTTTCTGTCTATGAAGAAATAACATCAAAAACGTGGTGCAAACTGAATAACCCGCGTAGCGGGTTATTTTAAAGTGTGCACCACATTTTTTATGTTATTTCGAATAGACAGAAAAAATATTACAGTCATTTCTTATAATTTAATTCTAAATTCCATTTTAAACCGGAGTAAACCATGAAAAAACGTTGATGACGTCACGGTCACATGACAAAATTATGTCTATGAGCTGATGAACAAAACAACGTCAGCCAATCAGAAGACGCGTTACATCCAAAATTAAATTATTACTCTATACATAGCATATAAAGCATGTTGTAACTGTTTCAATATATAAGATACAACATTGTTTGCTTACATATCATGAAATTCTTTTGAAATTTGAAATGAAAAAATCTACACAAACAATGACTGACTTTTTCAAGAAATTTCATTTGAGGCCACATCGTTTTAATTCATTATTTTCCCAACGATTTATATTATGTTTTCACGTTCAAATAATCCTTTCATAAGTTGTCGATTTGCAAACATATAGTCGTATCCATATGATCGTCTCTCTTTGAATATTATTTATCCAAAGACAATTTTCAACATTATTACCTTCAAAGTTTTCAACCGAACCTGAAGAACACTTACTTTTTTAAAACTATGATACGTTAGTATACAGTAGTGAACTCTAGTATGATATTTTTGTTTATTCATTACCGTGCTATGGGAGTAGTGGCTATAACAACGTATTATTATTATATAATTATGTTACCCATAACGGTCAACCATGCCAGGTGGCATCAGAAAAAAAATAATAAACTCGTCAAACCTCCATATATCTCATCTAATATCAACACTACTTAGATATTTTGTTGAAATTCATGTGATGTCGCAACCATTTGTAATGACTGATTTCTAATATTTTGAAAATGTTCTCAAATTTATATGTTCTCTAACATTTCAATAAAAAAGAATGTTTTCTCGACGTATTATCACTATTCATTTTGCCTCACAGTTAACAATATGTTTAGATCAACCCGGTTAATAATAAATTCGTCTTATTTTCTGACGTTGTAATTACAAAGATAATGTTTTGCAAAAATAATTCAGTCATCCGACTAATAATTCAAGTCCAAATGCACGAAACTTGATATAGGTGAAAAGGTTGATATGCTGTCTGAATGTTATAACCCCATGCCAACGTCTGGCTTTATAAATTATTTTCGTAGAAATTACGGTCATTAATTAAGAAAACTTGCAATATATGCTAACATTTTTAATGCACCTAATGCTAAACTGATATTTAACAGTGACAATAAATGTCAGTTATTGCTGGCAGATTAGCCTACACATTGGTGTTTTTTTCCATCTGAAACATATATACGGTCTTGTTTTTATGATGAGTAAAATATTTATAACCCTTAACAACATGCAAGGTTTCCGTTGTAATCACTGCGACATATTAGAAACAACTGCTCTTGTTCACACTTTTAGAAATTCTTAAGAAAAATATTTACACATAAATTGACTGACATTTTAAAGAAATATAATATTCGTTTTATATCATCGTCCGTCCTTCAATAGTATGTAACCAAAGAACCATAACACATTTTACATAGTTTTATTTTACCCATCCTTTGAATTTTAACATTAATACCTTCATGGATTTCAAAGGAATCTCTAAAAAAAAACAAATAAAACGTTAGTATACAGTTCTGATCTCTGGCATGGTATATTGTTTGTTTAATTCATTTAATATATATGTTTTAGGTATTTTTAAACGACTTTAAAACAAGTTGATCTCAAGGGATAAATTAATTATAGATGTTGAAGTTGGAAACTAAAACAGTTTTAAAGCTCACCTACATAGACCAAGAAATGGTACTAAACTTTGCACAATATTTTTTTTTCAAATCAAGATGTTTTAAAAAATAAAGTTTAATTTTAAATTAGTAAAAGAAATAATTTTGCTATTGACGAAATCAATGATTATCATGAGTATTGCACAATTTCGTATCAAGTAAGTTGAACAAAATTGTTAAATAACAAGGCATTTATTAAATATTATTATTTCTTTAGCATACCTATACATAGATCTAGGTCAAAGATGACATTCACAATTAATTGTATTTACCAATAAAGGGACATTTTCACCGTAATATATACATGATATATAGCAAATTGCATCCCACCAACATTATTTATTTGTATATAACCATTATTTATAAAATCTATAGCCACACATAGATATGAGAGTGAGTGACCCATATTCGCCGTTGACACATTTTTTGCCGTTTTGTGATTTTCTCGGAATGCATGCCATGATGTAAGGAGTGTGCTATTTGTTTGCTTGAACATTATCCCTATCATCGATCTAACGCATTTTATGTATTCAATCATCGGTGTGCT